TACAGGATTAAATGCAGAATTTGACCAGATCACAGTCCAGATCCTCGGCAAAGAGGAGACGCCAACACTCAATGAAACCATTTCTCTCATTCGAGCGAAAGAAAGTCGACGAGGAGTGATGTTAGAACAAAAGACCGTTGAAAGTTCAGCAATGGTGGTGAACAAATAATCGTCATGGAAGGAGAAAGGTAAAGATTTTTCAAAATTTAAAGACAATGACTCACTTTGGTGCAGCTATTGCAAAACGTCAAGACACACAAAGGAAACGTGCTGGAAAATACATGAAAAATCCCCCAGCTAGGAGTGGAATCAAAAAGGTGAAACAAGGAGCACATCACATGCCAACAACACTACAAGTAAGCCAGAAGCACAGTCCAGCCTTGGAGAATTCAATAAAGAAGATATTGATAAATTGAAATGACTCCTGGTATCTCTTGAAAAACGAAATATTTCTTCTTCACTAGCACTCTCTAGGAAGACTCCAATTTCTATTAGTTTAAGTGCTTCCATAAATCATTTAAAGGAATTATGGATCACTGATTCAGGAGCCACATATCACATGAACCACTCACCTACCCACCTCATAAACTATATTTCTTGCCCAAACAACAAGAAAATCATCACTACTGATAGTTCTCTTACCACGGTAGTTGGCCAAGGAGACATAATATTATCTCCCTCATTCACCATGAAAAATGTGCTCCACATACCACAATTATCCACAAATCTAATATCAATACAAAAACTTACCAATGATCATAATTGTCAAGCCTTATTTAACCCTACTTATTGCTTATTTCAAGAGCAGAGATCGGGGAAGAAGATTGGACTTGCTAAGGAGAAAATAGGATTGTACTACCTGGAAGAACCAAACCAATCTAAAAATAGTTGTTCTATGTTATCCCTAGTCGATAGGAGTTCCACTATTTGGCTTCATTATTATAGACTAGGACACCCATCTTTTGATGTCCTAAGACATATGTATCCACAACTTATTCATAGTGATGTATGGGGACCTTCAAAAATCCTCAATATCTCTGGGGCACGCTGGTTTGTGTCATTCATTGATTATTGCACTAGAATCTATTGGATCTATCTCCTTAAAAATAAATATGATGTTAGCACCATTCTTCCCATCTTTCATTCCATAATCAAAAATCAATTCGGGATAAAAATAAGGAGATTCCGCTCCGATAATGCCAAAGATTATTTCAACCAAACCCTTTCCTCCAACTTCCCGAGTGAAGGGATCATCCATGATTCCTCATGTGTTCACACCCCACAACAAAATCAGGTTGCAGAGAGAAAAAATTGTCACCTTCTAGCCTTTACCCGAGCTTTCCTATTTCATTACAATACACCCAAATCCTTTTGGGGGGAAGCTCTTTTAACTGCAGCTTATCTCATAAGCCGACTACCTTCAACAGCCTTAGGACTCAAAACAACAATGAAAACTTTGTCCTCCTTTTACCCTGAGTTTCGAACCCATCATAATCTTAAGCCCAAAATCTTTGGATGTACTGCCTATGTTCATATTCACAGCTAGGAGAGAGGAAAATTAGATCCAAGAGCACTCAAATGCATCTTTGTTGGCTATTCAGCTACCCAAAAAGGTTATAAGTGTTATCATACACCCACAAGAAAAATTCTTGTCTCTATTGATGTTACCTTTGATGAGCAAAATTCATATTTTTCAAAATATCATCTTCAAGGGAAGACTGAACTTGAGGAAGATGAGGAAAATGAACTGGCACCTCTTGACATTCCTCCACCACCTCAAACCAATCCACCTGAAACTCAAGATAGGGAAACAAATGACAAAGCTATCATTAGATTTGGAAAGGTTTACTCCAGACGTACAAGCTCAAGCTGTGCTCCAAAGCAGATTCAAGAATCTAAACCATCTCCTGGAAATAAAGTAAGCTCACCACCTCCCTTATACCCTATAAACAACTCTATATCCTTCAACAACTTCTCATCGTCACACAAAGATTTTCTGGTTACATTAGAAGATATCCATATTCCTAAAGATATTTTTGAGGCCTTATCTGATAAAAATTGGAAAAATGCCATGAAGGATGAAATACAGGCGCTAGAAAAGAACAAAATATGGGAGATCGTCAAACTGCCGATAGGGAAAAAATCGGTCGGCTGCAAATGGGTGTTCTTAGTAAAATACAAAGCTGATGGCAAGACTGGTGACAAAAGGGTTCACTCAAACATATGGCATTGACTACCAAGAAACATTTGCGCATATAGCCAAGATGAATACTGTCAGAATACTACTCTCACTAGCAGCCAAGTACAACTGGCATCTGGAACAATTGGATGTAAAAAATGCATTCCTGCATGAGGATCTAGAAGAAGAGATATTTATGGAAATATCATCAGGGTTTAAAGAAAAATATGAAGGTAACAGGGTGTGCAGATTGAAAAAGGCTCTATATGGGCTCAAACAATCACCAAGGGCCTGGTTCGGAAGATTCCTTAATGGGTATCGACAGAGTCAAGATGATCATACATTATTCTTTAAACACTCAGGGGGAGTCACAATTTTATTAGTGTATGTTGATGATATTATTTTGACTGGAAATAATGAAGAGGAAAAAGTTAGTTTAAGGAAAAGTCTTACTAAGGAATTTGACATCATAGAACTTGGTAGACTAAAATACTTTCTCGGAATTGAAGTAGCTCACTCCAGCAAAGGAATCTTCATTTCACAACAGAAATACATCAAAGATCTTCTAAAAAAACAGGTAAATTAGCTTGTAAACCAGCACCGACACCAGTAGAACCTAATCTTAAACTTGAAGAAGCTAGAGAAGATCCAGATGTAGATAAAGGGGCCTACCATAGACTTATAGGGAAATTGATCTACCTCTCCCACACTAGACCAGACATAGCATTTGTTGTAAGCATGGTCAGTCAGTTTATGCAGAATCCAAAGCAGATTCACATGCAAGCAGTATACAGGATATTGCACTACCTTAAAGGAAACCCATGAAAAGGGATTCTCTTTAAGAGAGATCGCGGAATAACTTTAAAAGTATACACAGATGCTGACTACGTAGGATCATCGGTTGATAGAAGATCTACCTCTGGATATTGCACATTTCTTGGAGGTAACTTAGTTACATGGAGAAGCAAGAAACAGAATGTGGTGGCAAGATCTAGTGCAGAAGTAGAATATCGAGCTATGGCCTTGGGAATATGTGAGCTACTATGGATCAAAATAATCCTAGAAGACTTAAAGGTCAAGTGGGATGAGCCCATGAAGCTACATTGTGACAACAAATCAGCAACTAGCATAGCCCACAATCCAGTACAGCATGACAGGACCAAGCACATAGAAATGAACAGACATTTCATTAAAGAAAAACTATACAATGGTCTAGTAAGTGTTGACCATGTATCATCTAAGGATCAACTTGCATATATCCTTATTAAAGGATTGGACAGCTCTGCCAGAATGATTGACGAGCTGGGAATGACAGATTCATATTTCCCAGCTTGAGGGAGAGTGTTGAAATCCAGTCGTGCCCAGTGCAAAGAATCCGACGAACACAAAGATCAATCCGTGGAATGCACTCATGGATCACGCCATAATTAAGGAACGAATTTAGGAAAGATTTATTATAAATTTTATGTATTAAATCTGTAATCTATTATTTTCTCATTACGATAACTTGTATAGATCTATAAATAGGGAAGATAGTAATGAATAAAGATAAGCTTTTCCCTCTCAAATTCCCGATTTTAACAATATTATATTGTGAATATTATTTTAATGGAATATTTGTTGTCATTTATAATAGTCAAATACATCAAAATTAATGAATGGTCATGATTTAAGAGTAGTATAGATTTACAACCCAATTTTATCAGTAATAATTTTCAATGAATTTTAGTAAATTTAGTATTTCAAAAGGAAAATCTAACATCCACGGTAACAATTTCAATGAATTTTCAAAAAATTAACAAAGCCCTTGTCAAGTCCCAAGTCCTAGATGAGAAAAGTGGAGGGTTGCGTTAGGTAGTTGACAGCCAGCATAAAATTTGTCGAATAATCATGACATGAATCATTTAATATATTGTGTTAATGCTAAGGCGTTTTCTCGAAGTGACGCATTATATAGCTTGAATACAACGACAAGTGAGCAAGGGCCGCTGCACCGGAGCCTGAGTGCAGTGTTAAATAGGCAAGGTATCCCGCATCATGGATGGATGTGGGCAAAGAAGCTAGTCTATGAAACCAAAAATTAGGATAGCATGAAATATAGGCTCCCTTACATGCAAATTAATGAAATTTATAGATATTATGATCCATAGGAAGATAAATATTCTTTGCATTCAAGAAACTAAATGGGTTGTAGAGAAGGCTAAGGAGATTGATAGTTTGAGATTTAAACTTTTTAATTCTGATAAGAGTCATACTAGAAATGGTGTAGGTTTGATTATAGATAAGAGTTTGAATGAAATATTATAAAAATTATTAGAATTGGAGATAGAATTATAGTTTTAAAGATTGTTGTTGATGCTATGATTATTAATATAATAAGCATTTATGCTTTTCAAGTAGGTTTGGTAGGAAAGTAGATGTATTAGATTTGACTTATATTAAGAAAGATAGAGGTAGTCCTAAAAAAATTTATTTAGAAAATATTAGAAATGACCTTTCTTTATTAGATTTAGATGAGAATTTCATCCTTAAAAGGATACAATGGAGAAAAATGATTTATGTAGCCGACCCCACAGTGGGATAAATGCTTGTCATTGTTGTCAGTATTTCAAAAGGAAAATCTGACATCTACAGTAATAATTTCAATGAATTTTCAGTGATGTCAGTATTTCAAAAGGAACACCTAACATCCAAATGCTGACACTGATTAGCATATATGATCCACATGCTTAAACAAACATGACTTAATAACATGGAAATATACCAAGATAAGTACCTAAGAAAATTCTATAACATTTAGGTATGGTTAAGGAATATAAACCTCCATTGACTTCCTGTTTGTTGAACCAACATCTTGAATATGTTCAATGTGGCTATAGTCAAAGCTCAATTCGCCATCATCATTGCCATCATACCCACAATCACTATCTTCATCATCCTCTGTGTCGTCATCCTCAAGTCCAATAAAATCATAATCAATATGCTGTTGTTCAGCAACAACTTTAACATGTGGTTCAAGCATCTCGAGTGATTTTACTCCCTTTCTAAAGAAATTTAACTGAAAAAAAGCAGATTAAAAAATTTAAAACTTTATTTCTGCTTCACTTGGGTAAATAAGGGAGTTGGTCGTCTAGAGCTGAATTAAAAACCTGAGCAGCATGGTGTCGAGCAGCCTGTGTCAGAAGACTGCGAGACTGTCCCTGCTTTAATGATTTCAACCTAAAGACAAAAAGATTGGCCTCCTCTTCGTAATCATCTCGAGCAGCCTGCAACTGCTGTGACTCGAAACTTTCTCCTTTGCCATGTCTTGTCCTTCCTTTCTCCCTCTGTGCCGCTAGAATAAATTTATACAGATCTCTGCAAATGAGATGTCAATGTTAAAGAAGTACAACAGCCATATGCCAGGAGAATCAAGAGCCGAGTGAGCTTCATACCTTTTGTCATCACATTGGCGTTTCATCTCCTGCATGCACACATAATTGCTCATAAAATAAACACATTATTGTGCCTTCTGGCCCACACTAACATAAAGTTTGACTTTTTAAAGAACGTGAAACATTTTAGTCGATTTTCTAGAATAAGCATGTAGGTTTCAGAATTTCTACAATAAAACAATTAGATGAAAAGGTTTTGCATTGACATGAAAGATGAAACTTCTATAAAAAGCCTACATGTAATCAAATAAAGTTACATTTTTTTTTATCAAGCAGCAGATTATTTGAGGTACATAGCCACAAGATCTTAGCACTTCTATATTCCGAGCAGAAATGAATTATGATAAGTGGGTAATATTAAAGATCTAGTTGATAATAATTATTCAAATGATGCTGCTGCGGAACCGACTTTCCTTTGAATCATAATTTCATCAAGAAACACATAAAATACATTTGAAAAATCACTGGACTGAAAAGTGCTACAGTTGGCTGCAAAAGAAACCAATACTAAGGCTCTAGTTGGAATTTTTGTCTTCAGTTGTGGTATGATCTAATGAGTTGTGTCGTCCTGTTGAGAAAGGCGCTGTTTGGTTGGCTGTAAAGTGAATGCAGTAAAAAAGTAATAATTATTTGAGGTTGTTTGGTTATCTGTAAAGTGAATACAAGGGAACTTTTTTTTGTTTGATTGGGTGTATGCAGAATAAAGTAAAATCAATGCATTCTGACACACCTTACGGTTCCAACTTCCAGCATGAGGTGGTTCGCCCAGCCTGCAGCTCCAAGTTCCCGCACAAAGTGACCAAATCAATCAGATCACAAATATTGCGTAGCTCAGAAGTGGAAAGTCATACCTCAGAGCAATGGGTTGTATCAATTTGTAAGGCCTCCGCACTATTGTCGATCCCATCGGACGCAATCAAGCACGTCTGGGCCGTTCCGTGCATGTCGTCCTTCGGGCCATGAAGCAGCATCTCAACATCCCTTGTGATATTCGCCCAATCCTTGAAATTGATAGCTTCCTGGACATCCATGCCCGACATCCGCCTCCTAAAACCGACCCAATTCCACCTTACAATTGCCTTAATCCCCTAGCTATTTGAATGCCATATAGCCATCCGAGCATTCCTTCCGCCCCTGTCCCATTTGTTGCTCCTTGCAATTGAGTTGCACTTGACCCCCTCGCTTCGATTAGGCAATCCCAATCCAGGCCGCCAGCTACACGATGCAACCTTGGTTCCGCAACTTTCGATCCGACAAAAAGGAAATGTCATTGAAGGGGCAAAGTCGAACAGCAAGAAAGACCCGATGAAGCGACTCAAGCAAAACTCTACCTCATGCGACGATGGACGAAGAAATGCGGGTGGCGTGGCGTGATTTCATGAGCGAAAGGCAGTAGAGGAGGAGGTCTCCACTCTTGGGTACCCTAATGATGGTTCTCACCAGAGGAGGAAGAAATAAATGTGTTCCGCAGGCTGCTCTCTCTCGCCTGTGGAAATCCTTTTACGCTCAATTTTGGGCGGGTTCATTTTACACAAAAAATAAACTATTGAGGAGAGTTACGAATGCATCAGGAATTTACTTCACTTTATTCTGCGAAACAACCAAACATCAAAAAGTGAAAAAGCAAAGCATAAATGCTTTGCATTCACCTTTCCTCCAACCAAACAGTCCCTAAAGTAGATCATTGTTTTGTAAAATCATATTAAAATTATAGTCTAAAATGTTGTAAGAGTTATAGTGGTTTAGCAAAAAACTATTGTGGCATTGGACATGAACTGACTGAATGTCCAAAATAGATATTCTAATGAATTTCATTCAATTCTAATAAAATATAATAATCCTAGTTAATATATAAATAATTAAAAAGATTTTTTATACAATTAATTAAATAATAAAACTAAAATCCCTAAAAATGTTTACCTAAGCTATCATTCTAATTAAACTGCATTTTATCTTTCAAACAACTAGACTTTTTCTCGCATATGTTTTGCTAACACTATAAATACAAGAGGCCAAAGTCAATAAACAAGAAGGTTCTATGATCACTCACTTAAATATCATTCTTTGAGTCAATCTTATTAAAAGTGCAAAGAAGTGGGTGCTTTAAAGTACAACATAACCTTAGGTCAATGCGTCTAAGAACCTTAAAGATCATTTTATTTTTCATTAATTTTTATACTAGTAGTTTCAAATTTGAAGAAGAAATGATCAAAAATAAAAAGACGAGCAAGCCTTATCCAGCAGCTTCAGAATATGGTGGGTTGTGCTGCTACATTAATCTAGCATGGCAAACCACCAAATCTAACCATTTGAAAAAAGAATCAATATCCAAAAGATTATGTGGATTACACGTTAAATAATTTCTAGTTATACCAAGTTTACGCAGATGGGTTTCAAAAAAAGAGATGAAACATTTTATTTCCAAAAAAATGCTTCACATTGTACCTCTACAGTTTGAAGTTCCTTGAGAAGAGATTCTGATGGTGTTGTAATTGTCTGGATGATGTGAACACGCTGAAATGTAATACAATCAGCAACTTAATGAGATCGTTTTCAAATGGATTACTAGGTATGTTATTTATAACAAGTTCAAGTAAACCAATCAAACAAAAAAACTCACATAGCTATCAACAAGTTTTTGTAGTTCAAACTGAGCTTTCCCCAGGATTAACAAAACCCTACCTGCATGCACAAATGTCAGAAACTAAGGAATTTCATTGATTAAAAAGATTCATCAGGGTCATAATGAGGAAGCTCAAACATTTATCAGGGAAGAGCATTTTTAACAAAAAAAATGGTAAGATGATTATATCAATAAATGCTAATTTTGCTGCAATGATGAGACAGATTATCGGGAAGCTCAGCTCCTTAATATTTGCATTTGTAACACAGAAGTAATTATCGCATTTAGATCAGAAAGGTTTTAATAACCTTATTGAGCAAACTAAGCCTGCTAAGCTTGCGTGGCTCAATTAAACTGCAGAAGCAAGCACAGACTTATTAAAATGTTTCTGTTGAAAGAGTATCAGAAAAAATCAAAATCCAGCAACAATTCTATGCAAACTAACCTAAACAATGATCATGGTGATATTGATTTACATTAAAGATTTTAACTTTTTCCTCTAATGACCTAATAGATCATTAATGTAATAAAACAATGCTTGTGAACTTACTACTTTCTTCATCATCATTCAATGAAGTTTTTTCAAGGAGGCAAGTACCCATCTCTCGCAGAGCTTCAGAGAATTCTAGAGCAGAAAAGGCTGATGATTAAGACATTGGAAAATAAAAAAGAACGCAATAAACAATTAAAAAGACATGAATCGGTAAACATGTTAGACAAAATTTGCATCAACAAGAAGTCTCAACTTAACAAAAAATAGTGCATCATTAAAAAGGTAGAAGGGTACAATCATAACATGATAGTATTTGATGGGAGTTTTTTTTTTTCAGAATGAAGGTATTCATCTTCTCTCTCAAACTTCTTTTGAAAAACTAATAGTTTCTTTCAAAATGTACCCATTAGTGCTACGATTCACTCAATATTGATTGAGTTCGGAAGAATCAAGGGGTAAGTTCATGATTGAGCATTGAGAAAAAAACCATCAACATCTTTGCCGTTAGTTCGATTCATCTCTACACAATACTCGAGAATCTCAATGTTTGAAAAGTACATGCAAATTGACAAAAGATAAGGTATACTGAAAAAAAAAATAGATTGCTCCTAGTTAAGAATGTGATACCATATTTAAAAGATTCCACTTGTTTATTATACAAATTATAAAAAATCATTCTCCTAAATTAATTATCTTCTCTTGAAGATATTTTGGTAAACATCGTCGTTGCCAGGTCTCAAGTCCTAGATGAGAAAAGTGAAGGGTTGCATTAGGTAGTCGACATTCAGCGTAAAACTTGTCGAATAAAAATGACATGAATCCTTTAAAAAATTGTGTTAATGGAAGCGACGCGCTGTATGGCCTGAATACAATGATAAGTGTGCAAGGGCCATTGCATCGGTGCCCAGGTGCAGTGTTAAATAGGCAAGGGTTCCCACATTAAGGATGGATGGGGGCAAAGAAGCTAGTCCATGATATTAAAAAACATGAAACTAAAATTAGTATAAAAACTTGGAATATAGGTTCCCTTAAAGGAAAATTAATGGAATTAATAGATATTATGATTCAAAGGAAGTTAACTATTTTGTGCATTCAGGAAACTAAATAGGTTGGAGAGAAGGTTAAGGAAATTGATAGTTTATGATTTAAACTTTGGTATTCGGGTAAGAGTCGTACTAGAAATGGTGTAGATGTTATTATAGATAAGAGTTTGAAGGATAATATTATAAAAATTAATAGGATTGGAGATAGAATTATAACTTTAAAGATTGTTGTTGATGCTAAGATTGTTAATATTATAAGTATTTATGCTCCTCAAATAGGTTTGAATATGAGTTCTAAATTAAATTTTTAGAATGACTTAGAAGAATTAATACAAAAGATACCTCTTGAAGAAAGAGTTTTTATTAAAGGAGATTTAAATGGACATGTTGATAGAGAGGTAGATTATTTTAAAAGCATTCATGGTGACTATGGGTAATGAACGACAAATGAATGTGGTAAGATCATTTTAGATTTTTGGTTAGCTTATAATTTTTTAATTGCTAATACCTTATTTAAAAAATGAATGAGCATCTCATCACTTATAAAAATGGATATAGTACAACTCATATTGACTATTTTCTTATAAGAAAATTAGATTGTTTAGATTGCAAAGACTGTAAAGTTATTCCGAGTGAAATTTTATGTACCCAGCATCGATTATTAGTTTTGAACTTTAAGATAAAAGGACAGGAAATAAAAAATAAAGTAAAATGATATTATAGAATTAGGTGGGGACATTTAAAAAATATTAAAAAAAATTTTTTGAGAGTAAGATTTTAGATCTTAAGATTTTGTCTGTGCATGAGGATGCTAATGTTATGTGAGAAAAAGTGGCTAGTGGTATTAAGAATATTACAAAAGATATGCTTGAAGTTTCAAAGGGAAAAGCTCCTAATAGTAAAAATAGTTGGTGGTGAAATCCAAATGTGCAAGAAAAGATTAAAAATAAGAAGATTTGTTATAAAAAATAATTTAATTCTAAAAATTCTAATAATTGGGAAAGATATAAAGAGGCTCAAAAGGAATCTAAAAAAGCAATATGCGATGCAAAGACCTTAGCTTTTAGTGATTTATATAATAAATTAGATACTAAAGAGAGAGAAAGATATATGTATAAGTTAGCCAAACAAAGAGATAGGAGTAATAAGGATTTAGTCAAGTAAAGTGTATCAAGGATGAAGATCAAAAAATACTTTTCTTAGAAGATGATATTCAACAAAAGTGGATGAGATATTTTGCTAAACTTTTTAATGAAGATTGTGAAAATAAGATTGACTGTAGTGACCTTAGCACCCTAAATGAAAATAAAGATTTCTATTTTTATCGGCGTATTAGTAAAACTAAAGTTAGAGAGGCTTTAAAGAAAATGAAGGGTGGAAAAACTGTTGGACCTGATGATATCCCAATAGAGGTGTGGAAATGCTTAGGAGATGAAGGAATTTCATGGCTTACTAAACTTTTTAATACTATTTTGAAGACTAAAAAGATGCCAGATGAGTGAAGAATGAGTATGTTAATTCCTATTTTTAAGAATAAAGGTGATGCACAAAATTGTGCGAATTATAGAGGTATTAAGTTAATGCGTCATACTTTAAAATTATGGGAGCGAGTTATAGAGCATAGGTTACGGCGTGATACTAATGTTTCTCAAAATCAATTTGGATTCATGCCGGGTAGGTCGACTATGGAAGCCATACATTTATTAAGAAGTTTGATGGTGAAATATAGAGAAAATAAGGAGGATCTACATATGATATTTATTGATTTAGAAAAAGCATATGATAAAGTTCCAAGAGAAGTGCTATGGAGAGTTCTTGAAAAGAAAGGAGTCAATAATGCTTATATTCAAATCATTAAAGATATATAAGGAGGAGCTATTATATGTGTTCAAACACATGGTGGTTTGACCAAGTATTT